TAAAACTGTCCCAAAGTGCTGAGAATTAGCGATGAAGATGAAGCTTTCCATTGTTTTTATTCTTTTAATAGGTATGAAAAAAAAGGCTATTCCACTTTTTTCAGTGTTTGAGAAGTTGTATTGACAGCTGTTTGTTTTCCAGATATCTGTCATCTAAAAGGCCAGGAGAGGATTAAAGAGTTCGAGCACATTTTCCTGAGACTCTCCTTTCCTTCATTTTACAACAGTTACAACAAGGCTTGCTGTAAACTGTATCCGGGAGGCTGCTACAGGCTGATGGACAGTTCAGGATATACCTGTGAACTTTTGAAAGGAAGAGTGACCAAAATAGAAAATGATGGCTGGATTGAATTTAGAATATCAAATGTGCAATTTGTAGATGGAGGCTTTTACAGGTGTGTCGTGCTGGGAACCCCAAATCACATCTACATGGACTATTATATAGAAGTGTCTGGTGAGTATTCTTATAAAACTTTTGACAGGATGCTCTAAATGCATTTCATGCAACAGTCGTTACTGTCATTGTTTATTAGCTGTATTTAAGCATGATTTTTATTTGACTTTGTTATTTCTGAAATTTGCAGAAGTTTCAGATCACTTCAGCCATTCACAGCCTCCAATCACAGGGACCACCAAAGCCCCCGGCACATCCACAGCACTTCCAGAGTCCACTAGACCTGCTTTAGCAGAGGACCACGGTGACAGCAACAGGTGGTCACTCTGCACATTGCTCATTTTCGTTGTTGCTCACTGATCAAATTGTTCCTGTGTCTGAAACATGAATAGTTTTTTTCATTTTTGTGCTCTGCTCCTCTTCAGAGTCTCCTGGAGTTTTAGTTTGCCGCTCGCTGTCATTGTGGCAATTACAGTGATGATGTTCATCAGTTCAGTGATTGGTTTTGTTTGCTGCAGAGTCAGGACAAAATCCAAACAGCTAGGTAAGCAGTTCCCTGAAAACTGTTGTCGCAAAGCTCAGACTGTCTGCCGAAGTTTATGATAAAATATATTCTTTTTTTCCTCTTATAAAATGGGTAAATGATGTGAAGTTGTGTTGTTTTTCTTTGTAGACAAATATGGAGAAACTCACTGTGACTCACTGAACCAAGAAGCTTCGGTACGAGCTAAACAGGGAACAAGCAGTCGCTGTGACTCACTATCATGTTAAATTGGAGACATGTTTATGCTTTAAACTTCCTCTAAAACACTGTCTCTTGGCAAAATGTGTCTCTACTAGGAAACGAGCGGCATAGTCTACACAGTGGTGGACTTCAGGGCTCTGCAGAAGCCCGAAGAAGTGTATGCAAATGTGAGGATGCACAAAGCACCAACAGGAGCTGCCGACGAAGAGCATGCTGGGATGGTGGAATACTCCATACTGGCAATCCAACCGTGAATTTGAGTTACAGATTTTAATGTCGGATCTACTTTAATTCTTTTGTCAGTGTTTTGTTGGAAAGTTTTTATGTATATGTCAGTTAACTGCTTAAATACTAAAAGATGTTTAATGATCAAGCAGAGACTGATCACTTCTACTTTGTTTTGATTATTTTGTATCCCAAAACTTGAATGGACTGTAAAATCTGATATCTGATGATGTTTATAATAATGAGCTATTAATGGAGAAATATTGACAGCGTAAGAAATGAAATTAAAACAGTTAACTCTGTCTCTGCAGTAAATGTGTGCTTTGTCTGTGTTTGAGACTTCCCCATTCTCATGTCCACAGTTTGAGATAGCAGCAGAGTTGTGAAATCATGTCATCAGGTTATCATCTGTTC